GTCCACTCAGTAGCGCGTGCCTCGGCCGGACTTCGGGCTGGAGCTTCCCCTACCTCTCACCCTCATTCACCTCGGTTGTTCAGACGATGCTGCGAGATAGCAGGAGTGGACGACCATGAGGGTACTGGGACGGGTCCAAGTTTTCAAGGTTAAAATGAGGATTGTGAGGCATAGGGCTCTCATTAATGGTTCCATTTTCTAATTTTATGGCCGGACATGGACTTATCAGCCACGCACGTTGTCCATTGCAGATCCATATTTGGATATCGACTGCTCCTATTTTAGCAATGCTGGCACTTCATGGTTTTTTTTACTGTGCATCACCGGGCTTTTTGGATCATGGGAGCGCTTACCAGGAAACCCTTTTGGAGCACCTCTGGGATATAAAGACCTGGCGTAGGAGCTATTACATTTAACCAAGATACTAAGGGTATGGGATACATTCCGCTAATGCTCGCCTGCCTTGGACGGTCTTCGTTAATAAGGCTGTGGGTGTGCTTGGAGCATGATGTGTACTGGATCGGCATAGGTTTGAGAGTTAATCTATCAACGTCATGAACAATGAACGGGGCGATGTCTGGCTGTCTCAGAGCAATTGTAATTTTGCCAAATTGGAGTACAGGCGGACCAAAAGGGGGCCCGTCCCTTTCTTTTTTCCGAGTGTGTGCTTCAGCAGATCTCGTTATTAATTTGAATCAGTACTAGCTAGGAAAGCGCCTTTCAAATCTGATGTACATGTACAAGGGCTGGTGGAAGATCTTTATAGTACGTGGACCTGTCGCTTGTCCCATAGTCGAGGTTTCCGTAGAGCTGAGTTTTCTTCGAATAGTCGGCACCAGGTACAGAAACGTCTCCTATTTTTATTTATAGGTACATAAGGGTTTGATGATCTGATGGGGTGACCATGGCTCAATGTCATTTTGCAACGTGCTTACAACGTTCGAATCCCGCGTGAGGGGTCAGGCCCTGAGAAGGATGCAGGGTTGGGTCCATGACCAAGGCATGGCCGGATAAAGCAGTTCTTTAGCTACACAGGTGGATAGCGTGCGATATCGGCATTATTTCGTACGACACGACCGATTGGATGCTGGGCCGGGCTATTAAAGAATAAACCTTCGAAGATCGTAGCCAATATTCAAGTTACAACGCGAGCGGCCAGGCCGCATGACAATGATAGCGCGTCCTGATTCATAAATACATAAATATAGAAAGGCTTTAGCCTTGAGATCATGATGGATACTTGGCATCCAGAGGCACGCTGACACAGATAATGAGAGGATGATGGGGCGGTGAAATGTCGGATAAAAAAAAAGCACTGGCCACATCGGGTACAGCGACAAGGGCGAACACTCAGGTTGGGCTATTTATATAACGAAAACGAACTAGAGCGAGTTGGCAAATGCGGTGCCCAGGTGGGTATGAAATGAAGACACCGATATAAACGAATATAGTATACATGTACACAGGGGCAAACATTCCCATGTGGGATGGGCAACATAACTGGTGGGTGTGCATTCAAAGAAGACAGTCTAAAGAGTTGTTATTGTCTTGTTGCCTGTGCTTTGTGGAGTACAATTAGGACAGCTACACCTTTCTCCTCCTCTTCTTCTTTGTCCATCCTTCACGCCCCCTGCCCTTCTCTCTCTCTTCCTGGCTTACCCTCCCTCTGAGCCGCCGACCTGCAACCCCATCCCCGCTCCTGTAACGATCCCTTCCTCCTCCTCATTAGTCCCTCGGTGAGTGCACACCTCCCATCGCAACTGAGATTCCCATCCACTCCTCCTGTCTGCTCCTACTTTCCAAAAAAAGGTGCCTCGAAGATCTAATTGGCGTTTTTGTTTCAGTCAAGACGCGCTTTCATTATATATATTTTCTGCCTACTGACACCTCCGTCTTTATCCCAACTCATCCAGCTCGCCAGCACACAAGCGCTTCCATACGGTGCAGCTCCCTTTTCCCTCCTTACTTTCTCTTACCTTCTCTCTCTCTCTTTTTTTAAACCTTTCCTCCTCCTTGACCTCCTTCTCCGATCCCTCTCTCTTCTCTCTTTTCCCCTTCTTATCTCGCTCGTTTTTTTTTTATTTTTTTTTTTATCACACTTCATCTGGTCCTCCTATACTATATCCCAGTTCTCCCCATTAAACGGCTTTCACAGCCTTAATCGCAACAAAGCACAGCAGCATCCTTAGTCTTCACAACAACAACAACAACAACAACAGCAACAACACCTCGCCTCCAAGATGCTGTATCTCACCAAAGACCTCTTCCCAGTGTTCGTACCACTGGGAGTGGTCGGATTCTATCGCTATCTCTGGTTCATCATCAAGTTACTCGCCTACTTCTTCTATCGCCCAATGATGCCCAAGGCCAACCCGACCTACCGCCCCGAATACGATGTCACCATCATCGTCCCCACCATCGATGCCGGAGAGGAATTCAAGGAGGCAGCACACTCCTGGCTCGCCAACAACCCTAAGGAGATCATCATCATCACGGAGACAAAGATGAGGGAGCCGCTGCAGGAACTGGCCAATTCGGTCGATCCAGCCCGCATCCGAGTCCTGACGGTGCCCAAGGCCAACAAGCGGTTACAGATGGTCGAGGGTATTAGGAACACGACGAGCGAGATCATCGTATTCGCAGACGACGACGCTATCTGGGGACCAAGGTGTCTGGAGTACATCCTTGCCTGCTTCGAGGACCCCAACATGGGCGGCGTCGGAACTTCGCAGACCGTCAAATCCGTGGGTCGCTACCAAACCGTATGGGAGGTCCTCGCGGGCTTCCGTCTCACGATCCGTAACATCGAGATTGCTGCATCGACCCATATCGATGGCGGGATCTGCTGTCTGTCCGGTCGCACGGCCGCCTACCGCACATGTATCCTGCAGGACCCTCAGTTCCAATACCAATTCACCCACGATTTCTGGTTGGGCAAGTACCCCCTCAACTCCGGAGACGACAAGTTCTTGACGCGCTGGATGGTCTATTACGGCTGGAATACCTACGTCCAGATCTGTCAAGAGGCTGAATTGCTCTCGACCTTCAAGAACAACTGGCGGTTTGTCAAGCAGGTCTTGCGTTGGACCCGAAACACCTGGAGATCCGACTTCCGTTCCCTGTTCATGGAACGCGTGATCTGGAGACGACATCCTTATGTGGCCTTCACCATGGTCGACAAGATCTTTAACCCGATTACTCTGCTCTCCGGCCCGATTTCCGTCATCGTCATGGCCTGCGAGGGCAAGTTCCACTTGCCGATCTGGGACATCATCATCTCCTATGTCGTCTGGCTGATGATGACTAGAATCATTAAGCTCCTGCCACATCTGTTCAAGCGGCCCCAGGACATTATCTGGGTGCCGGCCTTCTTGATCTTTGGATACTATTTTGCGATCATGAAGCTCTATGCGCTCTTCACGCTGCACGAGGTCGGTTGGGGCACACGAGCGGGTATCGATCAGACCCCTGCAGAAGCCGCTGCGGAGAAGGAGAAGGCTCTACGGGAGATGGACCACCAGGGTATGGATGGTCAGCAGGAGAAGAGATCGTACGACATGAGCAACGCTGCCGCTGAGCAGGCCGCCGTTGCCGCTGCTGCCGCTGCTGCTGCCGCGACCGCATATGAGGACCAGCAACGATCGCAATGGCAGTCGTTCACGGGTGAGATCTCTCGGCCAACATCGCCTGGAAGCGCGGATCTTATTCGACATTTCAGTCAGGCACAGCAACGACAGGCGCAAGCAGCAGCAGTGGCGACAGGGAAGAGTCCCGAAATGGATCCGGATGTGTACGAGTACAATCATGACGACGAGCTGGCTCAGTACTTTGCACAATCGGATGCGGCCCTGTCGTCGATGCATGCGAACAACTCTCATGGGGAGTACTATGATGTCTACGACCCAACAATAGAGGAATACGGACGCGGAGGATCCGGCGCTCCGGCGAACAGCCAAAGACGATCAGGATACTTGTAATTGTAATTGTAGTCTTTTCTTTTTTTTTTCCTTCCTCCTTTCCGGTTCTTATCTTGAACGATCCTCATAATCCACCTCGCATCCATTCATCCTCCCCCCCATACATTCTCCTCCATACCCTCATCAACCACTGCATAAACATACATAGACCATCGCATAGAAAGATAAATGAATCTGGAGTAATATCGAACCATCTCATTGATCGATGAACATCTTCTTGGGAAATGTTTGCAGTATTTCTAGTGATAATAATGCGATGATATATTTATAAGAAAAAGAAAATAGTAATAACGATGCTCTAAAGATATCAAGAATGCAAATCGCGATCTGGATGACGCCGTTCGTTTCACAGATCCATCTTTCTTAATCGTCCGAGCCCTTGTGCTTTTTCCTCCGTCCTCCAGCCTCCTTGAGGGCTTGACGCTTCTGTTCCTTGCCCTGGGTTCGGAAGACCTCCTTGCGCTCGCGCTTGACGCGATTCTCATAATTGGCGGTCTCCTTGGCCTTCTTCTTCTCGTACACGGACTTGCGCTCCTTCTCCTTCTCGGCCCTCTTCCGATCCTTTTCGTGCTTGAGTGTGTTAATTTGCTGCATCAACGTGTAGATCTTCTTCTCCTCGGGCTCCAACATCACAGCACGACGCTGCATCAAACCGGGCTTCCTCTGCTTCGGCAATAGCTTAGGCTTGGACGCGAAGGGCAACGATGCACGAATCGATTTCGGCACCTTGAGAGTATTGAATCGTCGTGTCATTCTCTCTATAGGTCGGTACACAGAGTCGTGATTCTGTGGTGTCTGCATCTGCATCTCATGGCGGACCTGTCCCGTCAACCGCATGCCCTGCCACTCCTTCTTCTTCGCCAAGAGAAGCGATGTCACAGGGTTGCAGTACTTCTTGGGCTTGATCGGATACCACGCCCTGAGGAAGACGATATCGGACATCAGTATCTTATCCTCGAATGTTGCACGGAAATGTCCATCGGGCTTCTGGAGCGCCTTCTTGACCTGACCGCGGATTCCAGAGACTGTCCGGATGTTGGCTCCCTCGAACTTGGCGACCTCAAGTGCAGACGTAAACATGTCCTTGATGAACGCCGTGTTCTTGTGAATCTTGTATGGGTGACCGGTCAGTTTCAGCTTCTTGACGATCTCGACCGAGTGATCAATATCCAGAACAACCCCCGTAGCCGAGATTCGGAATGAAGAAGTGCCGTCAGAAACGCTTTGTACGCAGCAGAAACCGGTGTTGGGTGGGTGGATGGGGCCATAGACTGTTGCAAGACAATGCATGTGCTCGGGGGTGTACTTGAGCATCCTGTTGCGCGTTCCGTCGTTCAGCGAGTAGATCGGCATGGTTTGGACACGGCGCCAACCCAACGAGAAGATCAGAGGATCGTTGGTCTTGAGGATCTTTCTGTGCCAACGATGCTTTTTGATACGGACCTGGATGAACCCATAATTTTCTTCCGCAGGGAGTAGACCTCCCATGATGATGGGGTACTCGGGCTGGAAGTGTTGAATGAACTCGCAGGGCATGTCCTTAAGGAGGATGCGGACGTAGGTTCCGGGACGGAAGCCCTCGACCATGGCACGGGTCATTGGGTCGTCGTCCTCGAACTCGGCCTCATTGATCTGCTGTTGTTTGGCCATGTCACCCTTGATTTCATCGTAAAAATCCTTCTTTTCCTCATCCTCATCGCCGTACTCAGCCTCGAACTTCTTCTTGAGCTGCTCCTTCTTGGCTGCAATCTCATCGCGAGTCATGTTCTCGTACGACTTTTCTTCGCCTAGCTTTGTGCTGGATTCTTCGTCTCCACCCTCGACCTTCTCACCGGTTTCCAGATCCTCAAAGTCACCAAAGGCCTCGTCTTCGTCTCCTCCTGCGCCAGCGCCAGCTCCAGGTACGTCTAAAGATCCTGTGATGAAGCGATCGCGGATGGATTCCTTGACTTCATCGTCATCCCACTCCTCCAGGTCGTTGAACTCCAATGTGGTCTTACACGAGTCAATCGTCTGTGCGATAGCGGTATCGGATTCCTCTTTTTTGAGCGTCAAAAAATCGCCTTCGTCCTCGCTGTCGTCCTCAGCACCGGTGCCAGGTCCAGTTCCGAAGCCCTCGTCAGATTCCTCGTCTTTGTCACCCGTCAACTTTAGCGGCGCCTCCTCAATATCTCCACTAATGATCTGCTCCGGTGTGTATTTGCGGTCGCCATAGATGAGGCGCATCAAGTTAGGTCGACGCTTGGAGTGGAATACAGATTCGGCCTTGGCCATCAAGTTGTCCTTCCACCGCAACGCACTGTCGTCCTCATCCTCATCTTCTTCGCCCGACAGATCGCCAAGATCGCTGTCACTCTCCGCAAAGGCAACATCTTCCTCGCCGTCAGAGTCCGAGTCGTTCTTCTTTCCGATCTTGTGCTTGGCTTCGAATTTGGACTTGTATTTCCTGCGACTGTTTGCTGAACCATAGCCCTCCTCCTCTTCATCCTCGTCTTCTTCCTCGTTCTCATCCTCCTCCTCCTCCTCCTCCTCGTCGCCGCTCTCCATTTCGACATCGTCGTCCTCATCTCCGAAAACGGCACGACGACGGACACGTCCGTTGCTGTCAGTCTCCTTTTGCTCACGAGGGCCTATTTTCAATCGACCAGAGTGTGTCAGAATAATGATTTTTCAAGCTGATTAAAACGCACTTGCAATCTGTTCGCGTGAAAGGAGTGCGACTTACCCTTCCTGCCAGCGGACTCTTCTTCACTCTCGTCATCCTGATCGTAGTCATTCTCGTCTTCTTCTTCTTCATCCTCCTCAACATCTCCTGCGCGCATGGGCGCCGAATCGGCGAAAATCCGGAGTTCACTCTCCTCGAGCTGACTGGCTAGAGTGTCGGTAGCGTCCTGCAGGTTCATGACCATCCTCTCACCCTGACCCTTCTCATAGTCCTGCTCCTCTTCATCTTCCTCCTGTTCTTCGTCGCTTGAACCATTGCCACCAGTGACGGTGCTCTTGGCGATCTGACTCTTTTTCGTAAACGATCCAGGGACATTGATATAGACAGCATCCTTATCGTACATGATGCCTCCGACATCCGACATAGGAGCATAAATCAGCTTTTGCTTCTCATCCAAACGCTTCCTGACTTTGTCGGGCAGTGGGCATGGGTCTGCCAAGATGCTGACGTCCTCCATATAATGATCTCCGACTCCCGGAATGTGTACCCGCATGCCGGACTTCATGTTGGTTCCACGAAGATATCCGTAGAGTGTCACCGTACGATCGCAGGTTGGGTTCTGGCGCACCATCTCCGGGTCGGTCAAATCCTCAACACGGTCTGCGATCATGTATGGATGCGTGTTTCTCCAGATCAAGGGTCTGAACTTCATGACTGAAATGAATCGAGAGAGGTTCATAATTTCCTGGTTTGGGTACCGGCCATTGATGACTCCTGAGAGATAGAACAATTTGGCGCCTTGATAGATTTCCGTCCAGAAACGGTGCTTCAGCTTCTTTTTGGTCGTCTTGAGCGTCTTGTTATTCTTAAAGCGGTCCAGATGTGTCAGCACTCCCATAATCTTTGGAAATCCGTGCGTTTGCAAGATGTTCAAGAACTCGAAGGTCTCCATCTCGAGACCGAAAGAGGCGTCGATCAGCAGGAGAATCAAATCGGCGACCTTGGCGACATCGATCATGCTGTTGAGGTCGTTGTTGCATTCAATAAAGGTGAGGCGACGCTTTTTGCCACTGATGACGGTGATGGGTCCCTTGATTTCAGAAAGCGAGTGTTTGGTGTATCTTTTGACCAGGGACTTGATCAGCGTCGTCTTTCCTGTCTATTCGACGAAAGATTCAAGGAATTTTTTTCTATTAGTCGCCAGTTCCATGAGACTCACTCCGATTGATGAGTATGTGCTGTCTGAAAGACTGGGTTCTTACCCCTGGGGGTCCGACAACAGCAACGACTACAGGAGGTGCCTCCATAGGCGTGCGATCCACAAGAGGGACATGAAGCCTGGTCTGGTCCCTATCCAGGTTACGACGAGCTGCCTTTTCCGCCTTTCTTCCTGACAGAAAACCGAAGGCCTATGTGTACAGGCATCATTTGGGATAACAGTTTTAAGATGAAGTAACGGTTAGTATCGCTGTCTTGGCTCCTTTTTTCCTAAGGCAGCACCATAATACAGGTTCAGGGCTTTACCTTGGGGTTGTTCTTTTCGGCATTCTTCTTGTGCTTGTTCACCTTGGCGCCCGAGGTCTTGGCGCGATGCGCCTTCTGAGGAGCTTCCATGTTGAGTGTGAAGAGGGATGGCAAGCGAGCAAGGAGACTGAACAGTGAGCAACACTGGCAGGCATGGGCTTCACAAAGAAAAAAAAAAAAAAAAAAAAGCTGTTGGTGTGTGGCTTCACTGTTTATCATGCTGCACGTGGACTGTCTTTTATCCCATCCTGAGAGCGGCGATCCCTGGGGAGGCGGACTTGAGAGGAGCATAAAACAGTTCGGTGCTTGCTATCGTTATCGGCTCCCATTGTTAATCCCTCATTCTCCTTTGGTCATTCCCACTGTTGCCTCACTCAGGCCGGCGTTCGCCTTTCCCGCTTTTTCTTAGCTTTGTTACCAAACTCCACCTTGCGCACTCTTCTTCAGACCTAACTTGACCATCTAAAAAAAAAAAAAAAAAAAAAAAAAAAAAAAGCGATGCGAGGCACGCTCCGTTGCCAGCTGCAACACCCCGTCCTTTCTCTTGTATCACCCACCCCAGCAATCATCGACACTATTGCGCTACCCAGGGTAGTAAAGCAGCAGCAGTGTCACCTATTCAGCCATAGCTCACAGCAATTGCGCTCTATCCCCCTCAATGGCAATACCAGGACCTTGATAAAACACTCAGGAACAGACTGCTCGTCGATTTATTCGGATTTCCTTTCTCGAACCAAAAGCTGTGCTACTTCTGAGCCGCTGTCTGCTTCCTTAATATGGTTCAGATCCTTTGCTGTCAGTGCAGGTACCAACAGCGTCCGAGGATGTCTGAGGACCAAGAAGACTAGTACAGGATCGCTCAATGGTGGCGGTTCCTGTCCAACAGATTTTTTCAAGGCGGCAAATCCCTGGACTGTTCAAAATGGAAATATTTCGTGGCGGAGCCCCTCCTTGTCCCGGAAAGCCGGTTCTGTCGAATGCACACTCTTTCAATTGCGTCCGCAGCACCACCGGCAGACGTTGGTGTCTCGGTATCACACCTCTTCCTCCAATAGTAGTAGTCACAGCAACAACCACAACAGCAGCAACTTCAGCGGCTCGAATTCCGTTACAAGAACCGACGCTCTTCAAACATGGCGTCGGCCATTCCGTTATCTACCCTCGGCCTCCGGACCAGAGCCACGATCCCTGGCAACCATGCCTACTATGCCAGCTATGAAAGGAACACCGCCAAAGCTGACTGAATCTGCCACACGACTTCAGCGATCCATGGCAGCGGTGCCCCATCACACCATCAAGAACGAGATCAAGTTGCGCTGCACCGAGTTTGATCACAGGGGCAACGTTAAGACGACCGCGGGCGAATTTTTGAAGAGTGATCTGTGCCAGCAGGTAAGGAAACAAATCTGGTTACCAATATGACCTGCAAGGTGATACAAGTAACGGGTCTAACATGCTTTTCTACACTTTGAAGCATGGACTGCATGCACGAGACTTGCGCAAGATTGACAGCAGCTTCAACAACCAGATGCCAGTGATCCTTGTGCGCCCCGAGGCCATTTTGGTCAACGTTGGCCATATCCGGGCGCTGATCAAGGCCGATCTTGTGGTCCTGTTCGACTCTTTTGGATCTACAGACAGTTATAATCAATCGATCTTTATTTACGATCTAGAGGAGAAGCTGAGGATGAGCACCAGCGCTGCAGGTGGACTTCCATTTGAATTTAGGTACAGCCATTTGCTTCCGCGACCCAATCGGCACTTGCGTTGAGCCACGTTTTTGAGATAGCCCGCACTCACGATAGCTCCTTTTGTCTCTTCGTTCTCTCAGGGCATTGGAAGCAATCTTTATTTCAGTACTGTCTTCATTGCAGTCTGAGATGGAGGTCCTGGTCCACTTTGTCACCAATTTGTTGGCCCATCTGGAAGAAAGCATCGACCAAAACAAGCTGAAGGAGCTCTTGCAGTACTCCAAAAAGCTATCCCAGTTCGAATCTAAGACGCTACTAATCCGCGATGTTTTTGTTGAACTCCTGGATCAAGGTAAAGGGAACTCTCTGGAATCGCCACTGTCGTTCATTTATGCAGGACCGTAATCATGGTCATATCCCCTATTGCACAATGGTTTCAATTAACAGTTATCTCGGCTTACTATCGAACGGTCGTCATGTGTAGATGAAGATTTGGCCAACATGTACCTGACGGAAAAGAAGCTGGGTCGTCCTAGGACGACGGACTCTCATGAAGAAATCGAGATCCTGCTCGAGTCTTACCTAAAGCAAGTCGAAGAGATTGCGAACACAGTCTCGATTGTCAAGCAGCAGATGCAGTCGACAGAGGAGATTGTGAATGTTATTTTGGGAGCCAACAGGAACCAGCTGCTGCTGTTTGAGCTCCGAATTGCGATGGGCACGCTTGGCATGTCGAGCGGTGCAATCATTGCCAGTCTGTACGGCATGAACTTGCACAACTACCTGGAAACGAACCCACATGCGTTTGCGATTGTTGGGTCGACAGCACTAGGCATCAGTATGATGGTATTTGCATTCTGCTCACGTAAACTGAAGCAGCTCGCAAGGGGGACGACCTGAGAGATTGGTGAGAAGGGTTCATCAATAGACTTCATCATCATCATCACTTGATGCCAAAAGACCATAGAAGTTTGTTTTTCGTAGCCGTCATTTTTCTTTTTTTTTTCCTTCATTGCTGCAACTGTTATAAAGCATCCTCCTGTATTTATAAGTTAACGGTTGTTCGTCGGTCCTTTTTCAGCCTTTTCGCTGCTGCGGTTCTTCATCGATCTCGTTGTTTTTGCCACCATTCCCCCATTAATGGATTGGTATCGACATCCGTATTCAATTCAGTGTCATCCAGAAGGGGAATGGATCCGAATGAATCGGACACCGAATATTGAAATGAATCCGGCAGATGACAGAAATAAAGTGCATGGCCATAAAACCTTGGTTTCGATTCCACAATGCACACGCATCAAGACGCTGCCTCCTCTTTCCCGCGCTTTTTTTTTGTGTTTGTTTTTTTTACTACCGGCGAAGCACCGGAACTGTAATAAACGCATTAACCAATTTTGTCCAGTGTTACAAGCAGGTTGTTATAGCCAGGACGGCGCCCTCTGCGTCATGTCCCATTGTGGCCTATGGAGTCTCCTCCGTATCTGATGAGATTCGCTTGTATCCTTAGTCAGAATCTACTTGGATAGCAGACATTTGTCTCTTCTTTGTTTCTTCTCATTGAAAGGGGGAGGGGGAGGCGGGGGTTGGGGTTGGAGTGGGGGTGGGGGTGGGGTGAGAGACATTCAGATCATTACCTTCCGGTTTCTGTTGGAGAGACTGATAGCTTGTACGGATACAAGGCCTTGCTCTGGCGGCGACTACTCACCGCCTCCACCCTTGCGGCGACCGTGTTCGTTGTGTACGATGGGACCGGGTTGCGTAGCGTTTTGTTGTTTATTAGTTGAGTTGCGGATACTCTCTTGTACGTACTCTGTATTCCACTGTTGCAATGGGCCGTGTTTCGTATGGATGTTACGGCGTTGAGTGAAGTGAATGACCAAGCCTGACCGCGACAAGACCGCGACAACAAAGACAGCGGCAGCAGGGCAAAACAGACAGACAGACAGACAGACGGGGTGTAGTTCGTTGTGCATTTACTTTTTTATCTTCACTCTTTCTTTCTTCTTCTTCTTCACCCCTCCTCTCCTCCTGTGCTTTTCTTGCCCTTCACTCTCTACTCCACCGCCGTTTCTCTCTCACATTCTCCCACACTCTCCCACACTCTCCCATACTCTCCCATACTCTCACTCTCACTCTCACGCACTCTCGCTCCTTCTCTTCCATTTACCCCCTCTTCTTCCCTTTCGTTTCCCTACAGTCAGACTGCACATCTGGTAACATTAACACGAAAACAACGCTCGACATCAATTGTGCAACCTGCGGACGCGTTCCTGACTTTATACTGCATCCCCCCTCGTTACACCCCCACACTCTCCACAATGCCGTGCAACAGCCATCGTGTGCCTCCCCTTCCTTCCAACGGCGGCCTATCTTATTTCATTCCTCTTTCCCCAATTACAGCTTCAAAATACCATTGTGCATCTGCACCGTTGGACATAAAGCCCCGATAATATACCGTTCAGGTCCATTCCTCATCGGATCTGTCAGTGTGAACCAGCAACTCTTTTACTTCACACCGCTTCGCTTCCTTTTCCCCTTCCTTTCTTTATCATTAGTCTTCCCCACTCCTTTCTTTCTTTTTGCTCGCAGCCAACACACAAAAAAAAAAAAAAACAATCTCACTCTTCATGACTAACGACCCATTTCCTCATTGATCGCTATCAGTCTCTTCCTTTCTAGACTCTATTCCTTCTACCAGACTACCAAGACCGACTCAGTCAGCAGCAGCTCGTATCTCACCCTTTTTTTTTTAGCACCACCTTGCAGGAACACGCCTTCAAAACATGTCGCCTGCGGATGTTCCCATGCCGCTGGCTACTGACACCCAGGATAGCAGCGCGATGCCATCCAGGAATACCAATTTCAGAACACTAGTTGTCGCGGGAGAGCACCATCAACACCGTCGTTGCCATCGCCACACAGCCTCGACCTCGTCTTGTCCTGTACCATCTACTGCAAAGAACCATGGACGTCATTTCACCATCCAATCCTCCACTTCTGTGTCCTCATCTGTGTCCTCGTCTGTGTTCTCTTCGTCTTCAGATAGTCGCGGACAGTCGCCAGATTATCAGCAGAATCGTCGCCAGACTCAATTTCGCTCTAAACACCATAGTCGCACACATTCAGCCACTGCTGCCACCTCTGGACCGCCGCCCTCCTTTTTTCGAAGGATCTTCAAAGTGTTTGCCGGAAACAATGGAGCTCCCCCCCTAAATAACGCTGCGATGGATGCATCGGCGTACACACATGGGTTCTATGAAGACCACCACGATATAGCGTCGCAGACGGATGAGACTGGATCATGCGAAGAGTGCGAGTGCAGCTGTGGGAACAGACCGATGGTGATCATGGATTATCCGTCACCTGGGCAACAATCGAATCCGGCAGCTCGCTACAAGAAACGGAGCAACAGCACTGCTAGCACGTCCTCAGTCGCCAGTTCAGTCGTTCAGTACGGACGAGGTATCAATGGCGTACGACCAGGGTACGCTTACAGCATTGGAGGAGATAATATGCAATCTTATTGCGCTGCCAACAGTGCTAGTGGAGGCGGCCATTGCAGCAGTGGCAGTGGCAGTGGGATGGGCAAGAGGCGGTCCTCGGTGACCAGCAGTATTGCGGGAGAGAGTATCCATTATGACCTTGGGAACTACAACCGCAAGAGCGGCGATAAGAATCGCACATTCATTAGCAATAGCCAACAATACCGTCAGTATCTCACAGGCCATGGCCCGACATCAACAACCGTTCCTGTTAATGCCAACCAGCAGGAAGCAATGAAGCGGCGACTGAGTTTTTTCAAATCTGTGGTCGCAGGGCCGGGACCAACCTCCAGGCGTGGGTCTGCCTTCTCGACAAAGTCGCAGGAGACAGCTGTCAACTTGACGGGAATCAATCCTGCGGATGAGTTTGAACAGGAATACGATGACGACGATGAGGATATGGATTTGGACGAGAAGGATGGGGATGACGATGATGATAACGACCTTGATAAATATTTTGACGAGAACGATATGCAGGAGGCGCTATGTCTTGGTCGAGATTATTATTCGACCCATGATTCGATGCTGACCCCGGACGTGGAGCTGGACATCCACCGCCGTCGACAAGAAGCGGCCCGCTTGGCCGTAAAACGCCATCGTTATTTGCGTCACCTCCGTCGACAAAGTTTGCTTTCGGACAGCAACAACCTTGCCTTCAGGAATAAGGCTGCTGGATGCAATGTCTGTGCCCCTCCGCTGCTCAAGTGCGAGCAGCGACCTTCGCCGATCCAGCTGCCAGAGATCCTGCACTTGATTTTCCAGTTTGTGGTGGACATGACCCCGCAGGAGGACTTTTCACAGCGCGAAATCCACAATTGCCTGCTGGTCTCGAAACAGTGGTACCTGGTTGCCCAAAAGACCCTCTGGCGCGAGATCCGATTCAAGAATCCGGCCAAGCTGGAGCTGTTTATTAACATGCTGAGGCGAACCGAGACAGTCGAGCACCTGGGAATTGAGAGGTGCAGCAAGCGTACGAACGCTACGGAGACTTTGTTTACCGCCCATTCTGAGCTCGCTATTGTTCCATTCCAGCCACAGAGGAAGACCAGTGTGTTTGTTCAAGGGCAGCAGGAAGCATCTAGAGAGGATTCAATCATGTCGCCGATGGCTATGCAGAAGCGTCTATACGAGCGAGCGTCTGCGGTGAAGAAGATTGTGCTGCACAAGCTGAAGTTGGTCGAGGACAAGGACATCATGCCGCTGACCTCTTGGTTCCACAACCTGCAGATCCTCGAGTTTTATATCTGCGAAAGACTAACGGACAAGATCGTGGTTTCCGTGGCAGAGAACTGCCCGCAGCTTCAGCAGTTGTTGATGCCTGGCTGCGCAAAGGTCACAGACATTGGTATCAGTAAGATTGCGCTGCGCTGTCCTCGCATGAAACATTTGGATCTGCGAGCGTGCTCGAACGTGTCGGACGAGTCCCTGGTCCTGGTCGCGAAGCATTGTCCCGACCTCTGGCATTTGAATGTTGGACGCGTCAGTTCTGCAGCGAAAGTGACCGGTAGGAGCATTGTGGAGATTGCCAAGAACACCAACCTGAATACGTTGGGATTGGCCGGATGCGCTATGACGGACGAAGCGGTGATAGAGATCGCGCGATACTCGCGTTCAGTGCTTCACCGGTAAGAAGATGCCCTTTTTGCTGATTTCACAGGAGAGGTTTTCTTGAAGAATAAGGGGTAAGAAACAACTAACGTTTTCTACCTATGCCTATTCTCGATTAGCATCTCGCTCAATAGCTGTCCGATGCTGACAAGTGCATCCGTCAGGGCATTGATGCAGCTGTGCCCCAACTTGGCTGTATTGGAGATCAAGCAGTGCCTGCTCGTGACAGACATGGCAATCCTCTACCGCTTTTCGACTCGACGGGTGCTTGTAGAGTTGTGTCCCGAACTGCAGAAGCGGCTGCTCGAATACAAGGTTGAGCTTGCATCGATGAACGCGTCTATGCAACCCAACAGCTTCGCATCGACACAGGTGGCTGGAAGTGGCAACGGCAACGGCAACGGACAGAATATGCCTACGATGCAGGCAATGCCTATACATAATGACAACCAGAACAACAATAATGATAATAATGACCCCGCACAACATCCGGCAACTACACCTGTTCCACCTCAGCACTAGACCAACGACCTTTTTCCTCCCCTTGATGACCATTTTTTTTTCTTTCTTTTATTTTGTTGTTATGAATGCGAAAGAAACGTTAGACCTTTTTGTTCAATAAACGATAGACAATAAAAGATGCTGCAGACTGTCCTATGTTTCGTGAAGAAACACATTAGGGAGCAGCTTTCGCTTTGTGCTTAGGCTCCTGCAAGTGAAGTGGCATATGGGGGGCGATCGTTGACTATTCGCACGTGTCGGCCACGGAGATGATTCGGCCGGAGAGTTGAAGCGAACTTTTTTTTTTTTTTTTTTTTGGTGTTCTCTTTTTTTTTACCCTGCGTCCTCTCCCCTCTCCATCCTTCTCCATCCTCCTCCACATCAAGAATCAGCAATGGTCGCGGCATCCAAACAGGAGACCGAAGAGGTCCACACGCCCGTCCTCCGTAAGGAGTCACCCTCGATCCTTGCCCTCGGCAAGCTGTTCCCCCAGAGCAAGACTCTCGACCACACCGTCCGCTTCCTCAGCCAGGTTCGCGGCACGGACAAGACCCTCATGGTAAACAGCGCCACATTTCATTGACCTGTCTCATGGATTGGGTACGCAGACGTCCGGGATCAGTCGCATAGGGTCTTCAAGGGTCGTTGGCTTGGTCTTCTCGTCTAGGAGGGATTCTCTCTCTCTCTCCTTAACGTGTTTTTTTTTTTTGACCTCTCACCTACACCACCTATACCACGGAGCAACATCGGGCATATCTGTTCTCATCAGCTCTGTACAATTGCGTTGACTTTGATATGGAGAACCTTTCAACATACTCAGGAGGATACATGAAATCGGTTCATAAAGGATTGGAAAGGAGACACATCAGGGATCAGAGAAAAAAAAAAGAAAAAAGAAAAAAGAAAAGTACAGCGCTGGAAATGCCTACGGATCTATTGCTGTTTTCCGATCGGTGTTTTGGGGACACAAGAGAAGCATAAGGGCTTCTGAACATCCTCCAGCATGGATGATCTATCTATCCTCTTGACGACATGGAAGTCTTGACAGCGTTCAATTGCTCCCCTCCTCTTCCTCCACAGCTTATGGGTGTTGCCGATAGATCCCCCACACATTGAAGACGAATATTTTGCCCGCAAATCATAAAAATGCCCACGGGCCCAGTGGATACCTCAGATTCAGTCATGAGAACAATGCCTGGGCAACCGTATTTTCCCGGCGAACCAATGCTCATCTATCCACCCCTCGCGGCTACTCCCTTTACCTTTCATGGCACACCTCCTCGAGTTATTCTACCCGCTGCTTATAAAGTGTATGAACTGATAGATTATATATATGTGTGTGTATGTTTATTTTTTTTTCGTTTGTGGGATTCATAGGTCGTACAATACTTTTCAAAGATCTTCATCTGGTACTTTTTGAAGCGCGGAAGGGAGTCGACTGCCCAGCGTGTCAAGAACTTGGCTGGTCCGATTTCTGATTTCCGTATTCTCCTCCGTTACTATGGTATATATCCTCCTGTTCTTCTGCTCTCCATGCAGCCTGTGATGGCCGAGGAAAAAAAAGAAGAAGAAAAAAGAAAGCAGTAATTGACCGGACCTGATCTCTTGACTTGTAGGTCTGTTGCCGCTGATTCAGTGGATGCAATACGTCGACACTCAGCCTTCGCCCAGTCCCCTCCTCCTCCTTATCGATCGCCTGCAAAACATCTGCAACCTGATCTACTACCCTCTCGAGCACATCTACTGGCTTGGCGCTCACGAGGTCATCCCAATCTCGATGGAGAAGACCAACAAGATTGCGATCTGGTCCTGCCGATTCTGGGCTGCTTATGTTGTATTACAGTTTGTGCACCTGGCAGAGGAGTTCCGCTTGCACAAGACACGTCTCCAGTCGATCCAGGGTCAGATCAAGGCTGCGGACAAGAAGGCCAAGGAGACGGGCGAGCCTGCGGACAAGACGGTGTACAAGACCGAGCTGGCGGCGTTGCGGGCTGAGAAGAAGGGCATTATCATCAACACGATCATCAACACGGGTTACTTGCCCCTGACAGTCCACTGGAGTTTGGAGAAGAGCAGCTTCCCTGATGTGGGTGTCGGTATTTTCGGAGGCATTGCTGCAGCGGCCCAGTTCTACGTTGCCTGGAAGTCGTCCTAATCGGATTTTTTTTTCTATCATGGAAGCGTTGAGTTATCGCACACCAAAAAAGAAGAACGATGACTTTGGCGTGGCGGCATCCTTTGTCCTGAATAAAAAAGAATAAAAGAAACATGTATGCCTGTGTGCCTGAGCAAGACCAATTGGGGGGCAGGAGTGAAAGAGATAATTACATTAGCCTTCATGTGGCCTGAGAACATCCAAAAATGCGCACATGCCAAAAAGGAAGATCGGCAGGACTGTTCGTGGGATGACTGGTTAGATTGACATGCGAGGAACATGCTTCCTCGCTTCTGTCTCTTTTTTTATTTCCCGCCCAACCCTTCCTCTCTCTCTCTCTCTCACTTTGCATTCATCCTCCACAACAAACAATGGCAGCAGACACCATCAGGAGGATGAGCACCGCCACTAGCCACAACACCAACACTGAGAGGCAGGACAAGGACGCAGCAGTAGAGGAGCCGCGGTACGATCCACGCAGTCTACAATATGTCGAGCCGACCCAGACCAGTCTCCAGTGCTCGGTCTGCTGCGAGTACTTTACAGAGCCAGTCAGCGCACCATGCGGGTAAATGAGTCTTGCCAATTCATTTCTTTCCTTTTTTTTTTTTTTGTCCATGCAACCAACCGACGCTGCTGTTGGGTTCATTCAGTTCCCTCCCCTCTTAGGACACTCAAACTGATTCTTTTACTTTTTTTTATTTATTTCGTCGGTTCACATAGACACACATTTTGTCGCCCCTGTATCCTGCAGGCATTAGAGGTCAGCAGCGGATGCCCACTCTGCAGGACGACCATCGATCCATCCTCGCTCTATGAGGTCATTGCACTCTCTAGGATTTGTGATGAATTGCTCGTTTATTGTCCCCACAAGGCTCTCGGGTGCGGCCACACATGTCAGCGGATTCAGATGGGTCAACATCTCAAGGACGACTGTGTCTACATTGGAACGCTTTGTCGAATTGAGGAATGTCGCAAGAAACTGCTCAAGAAGGATCTGTCGGAACACATGGAGAGTTGTCCTTATAAGCGGGTCGATTGTTTGATGTGCAATACCAAGGTTCAGAAATCGCAGCTCTCGGTAAGGAACCGTCCATCCATGCTGTCTTTACAACCGACCAACCAACCAACCAACCAAAAAAAAAAAGGGAACAGAGACAATGTTCACACACGTTTGTACAATGGCTATAGGAGCATCATAAAACATGCCCAGCAGAGACCGTAACCTGTCCACATTGCGAAACGACCCGGACTCGACTGCGACATTTGGAGCACATCAAGCAGTGTCCTCGACAAATCATTCCGTGTACGCTCTCAGAGTTTGGCTGCCCCTGGACAGGACCTCGGTTCGATCTGGAGGCGATCCATATACCTCAATGTCCTTACGAGGCCATCCGTGGGTTCCTCGAACTTTCGAAATCAAAAATGGAGGCCTTGGAACAGGAGAATCAACAGCTCCGGGGCATTTTCCATGATCTGAAACCCCAGGTTCAGCAACTTCGCGATCAGGTCGGTCAGATGGCAGAGTCCTTGCAGCTGATCACGCAGCAGGAGCAACAGCAGGCTGCGGGCGGTGGTTATTTCGGAAGCACAGGAGGAATGCGTGGATACATGGACATGACCTATCCACAATACAATCTCCAGCCGTCGCCTCAGATATTGGATAGGCATGAGTCTTATGAGATGATTAGGATGGACGGAAGCAGCGATAATGAGATGCATGTCATGTATAGGAACAACAGCATCGGAGCAGAGTCAATGGTCTCAAACAACGGAGGAGCCGTAACGGGCGGAAATGCTGCAGATACCCATGAGTTATTGATTTCAGAGAATGAGCGCATCCGTTCAGAGATCGAGACGCTGACGGCCGGATTGGCATCCCTGGAGCTGAAGCAGAACATGGCGATCATGACGGAGAGCATGCGGATGCAGGAGGAGGTCCAGAGTTTGAGGGCTGTTTGTCATGGATTGCGGATGCAGATGCATTATTTATTGCTAGAGCAGCAGAATCGACATCACCCACCTGGTCCTCCGCCACCGCCTGGATCCTCTGCAGGGGGAAATGGCGCACAGCCGGGGATGAAGGGGGGCGCTAATGGAGTTGGAGGACATGCGGGTGCTGCGAATGGAGGCCGGCCATTGGGCACCAATGGACCACCCCGATCACGGCCCACAGGTACGTTCGTAAGAGTCTATTCACTGGTTTTTTTTTTTTTTTTTTTTGCTTTTCTCAATAGTTTAAGTTTGTTTGCGGTTTCATACTAATTTTCTCCTGTGGATATTGTCTTTTGTGCTCATTAGAGGGATTGGTACGGCAGGATACAAAACTGTGAACAAATAAAGTCCCTCACTTGTACAGTACATATTCAGAATGCAATAGCTGATGTAAAAAAAAAAAAAAAAAGACGAAAAAGAAAAAAGACGAAAAAGAAGAAAGAAGAAAAAGGGAGGGGGAAAAAAAGTATTCGGTTGGTACTGGTGTCCGGTCTGGATTGCAAACAGCCAGGATGGATGTGTCCAGGACAGAGTGGCACATGGACCATGGCACGGATGTTGAAGATGTGCATGTGTGTGTGTGTGTCTGATTTGCGCCAGCTACAGAGGGGGATGATGGTATCTCTTCAATATGTAACACTTTAATCTCACGGACTACCGTCCCCATCTGCCCCGTCGCAAGGAATAGTCTCTGTTACAGCGTGCATTGCGATGACCCATGTCACTTGCGGTGGAAAACGATGAAGCGGGAGACTGTGTATCAGGATTATGGTAGGGAAGAGGGTGCTGTAGGGACAATGTCTTTTAGGGGAGGAGAGAGTGGAATCTGATGGGCGCAGCAGCGCGAATGAGACGCTGGTCGGTGGTCGCACAAACAGAAACGTGGGCGCTGTAAGCATGTGCATCCGCCGCTCTTTTCTGCACGGCACATTTTGTCTTCCCAGTGTCGGGGGTCGGGATCAATCAGGATGTTGCTGCGATCATTGACGCATTCTGTGCAGAGATGACTAGTAGGACCAGTTACTGGTAGGACTTACTGGGAGGATTCTTAGCAGGATTGTTGGAACGAACAGGTCCGTTAGCTGTGGACTACATCCCCCGTTGGTCCTTTTATCGCCATCGTCTTCTGTTCTCTTTTTCATCGCTAGCCGATTTCCTTCGCACGGCTTTATTCACTTTGCCACTCCCTTTTCCTTTGTGCCTTCCGCCATTCGCGTACCTTTTTTTTCTTTTCTTTTCTTTTTCTTTTTATTCCAGGCAGGACTTCGGTACCAGATACCCCATCCACTTCATATACCCACCTATACCTTGACTCCCTCTTTCCTCCCACTTCCATTTTTCAAAGGCCGTCAGCACAGCCTCCCCCCTCTTCTTCCCTCCCTTTTCCACCTTACATATTCCGCCACTTGATTGACACAGCATGCAGAGCGACGCGTTCAAGCGCTTCGGCAAGGACCTGCAGGACGCCCTGGTCATACCTGTGAACTACATCAACAAGAAGACCAAGAAGATAACGACCCTGAACGAGAAGAGAAAATCCATGGGACTCTCTGGTCTGACGATCTCGAGTCCCCATATCAAGAGCCAGCAATTCTGTGAGACCTGGATGAGTAAACACGATGCAGATGCGGGGTTGTACACGCCCTGGTCGGACTCGATATCGGATAGTATGTCGCTGAACAACTTTTCGCTCTCGACCCTTAGCAAGACCTCGTGCGATGATAACCCATCGCTCACGTCCTCGAATGGCAGCGTTGTCGGCTTGAGCGGCCTCTCTCAGAATCAGCAGCAGCAACAACAACAGCAACAACAGCAACAACAGCAACAACAGCAACAACAGCAACAACAGCAACAGCAACAGCAACAGCAACAGCAACAGCAACAGCAACAGCAACAGCAACAGCAACAGCAACAGCAACAGCAACAGCAACAGCAACAGCAACAGCAACAGCAACAGCAACAGCAACAGCAACAGCAACAGCAACAGCAACAGCAACAGCAACAGCAACAGCAACAGCAACAGCAACAGCAACAGCAACAGCAACAGCAACAGCAACAGCAACAGCAACAGCAACAGCAACAGCAACAGCAACAGCAACAGCAACAGCAACAGCAACAGCAACAGCAACAGCAACAGCAACAGCAACAGCGACAACAACAGCGACAACGACAACAAAAGTTCCCGATGGGTAAACGTGCGCGGGCGAGCAGCTTTTTGAGAAGTTCGTTGAGTCCGCTTGGGTTTGGGTATCAGTCCGATAACAGGACCTTCATGAGGCTGAAGGCAGAGGAGGAACCGCCGTTGGTGCATTGCCCGTTGTCGGTCGCGAGCTTGGATCAGTTCTCCCCAGAGAGACATGCGTGGGTGAGGGAATGTTTGAGCGGTGGGCGTGGCATGCCGTTGACGACTACAGCATCGGCACAGTTGAGTAACGTGCTCAAGTCCGAGAGGGCGTGGGAGGCGATGGAGGGACATTATGGACAGCAGAGTTCGGAGGAACTTGTCGCTCCCGGATTGAAGTAAGGCACAATGAGCGTCAGATAGATTGTGGTTTTGGTTGGTTCAAGTGGGAAAAAGAAAATGCAGCTATTAATGTTTAGTTTTCTCGTCTGTAACACTTGGAAGTAGTTTTGCAAAGACGGGATACAACAACCTGAACGAGGCAACGGGTCTTGTTCTTGTCAAGTGTAAGGTCTTTGCTTCTCGCCTCTGCTTTCTTGTAGTCCTTGTCGCGAATTATGAATGTCGTCGCTAATGTCCTTTTGAGCAACAACAACAACAACAACAACAACAACAACGACAAAAAAAAAAAAAAGTGATGCAGGTCACCAATAGGGCGAGCTCAAAGATTTATGATATCGAGTGCAACATCCGAGTCGGAGATGTCGAGCGCATGTCCCACCCCACGCGATCCTTCAAAGACAGCCCCGGTAACACCGCCACCATGAACGAGGTCTTCTTGTTGTAAGTTCCATCGAAAAAAAAGAAAAATACCACCGATTCTGCATGCTTCTCTACGTTTCTCACACACGCTTGATGTATTCTTCCCGCAGCGACGTCGACAAACCCTTCCAGATCGAGCTGGATGTGATAGGCACGCCTGTCACGACCAAGTTCGGGACCATCGCCGGATTCTCGAACACCGACACTGTGCATCTCGGCCGTGTGATCCTATCCCTGCCTCTGGAGACAATGGAACAGTCCGTACGGACCTATAAGCTGCAGCGCCTGGGTTCATTAGAGGACGTTCAGCCGTCTGCGTACAAGATCCAGTCGAAAGATAAGACTGACTGCGAGATTGTGATCATGATGGGCGTACATGTCTTGGAGGAACCCGTCGAGGACCACGCATGGGAGACCGAGGTGTTGTACCAGGGCAACTTGACGGTCATGACCCGCGGGCCTCGCATGTCTGTGAGTTGATGTGCTCTTGTTTGCTCCACTGCGTCTCTTTAATACGCCTTTTTTTTTATTGTTATGGATGTCAATTCTAACATGTTTTTTTATATTGCGACTGAGGGCAGTCGTGGAAGCGGTACTGGGCAGTGCTGGATGGCTGCGCCATCAAACTGTACGACGCCGAGTACCAACTGGTAAGTAGTCAATCGTGCATGCCTCCAATCGTCCTTCCTCTTCAAGGTCTAAAAATCTTCTCCTTCCCTCCAGAAACGCAATTCGATCGCCGCAATCCCGCTGGCCTACATCCTAGGCGTACAGCCCCCCGACTACGATAAGATCAACGTGGGCTCGAATGGGTTCTCGATCGAGATCTCCCCGACTGGAATTGATGTGTCGAACGCCTCAGGATTCGATCCCGCGGACATGGATAACATTCTGTATGCGTTTACGGATTCGGCCTACCAACATGACGGCTGGACCGCGCGCATTGAAGAGGCCTTGGATCAGTACCGGGAGAATATGGTTAAACGTGGAGAGGTGAAGCAGGCAAGAAAGAGCCGCAAGGGAAGAAGTATGGGCCCGGGAGCGGCCTTGGAGAGGGAGGAGGAGGGTTGGGAGCCCGAAGAGAGACAGGAGCTGATCGATTTGAGGTTTGTGTCGTAGAACAAAGAGAGAGGGTCTAGATGTGGTGCCTTCGATAGATACCAGAACTCGTCGCTGAGAATAGCAAGGTGGTCTCCAATGATTGATTGCCAAAGGTGGCCAGAACATGTTTTCAGAGCACCGACTTGATTCATCGGCGCAATGCGCAGATGTGCTGGATTGGAATAAAAAATAGGCATGTGGAGCCTTTTAATAATATGTTCCAGAATAATAACCACCTCCACTCCCCCCGCTCCTCCGCGGCGGACACCTCACAGCCGACTCTTCTCCGCAAGAAAAGACCTTTTCGAACGGCCGAAACGGGTCCAACTGACCCCGAAGCGATAAAAAAAGAACGAGGGTGCCAGAAATAAGCTTTTGCTTATCCGCTTCCTGCCTTTTGCATCCATCCCCACTCTCCACTCTCCACTTTCCACCTTCCACTTTCCGCTTTCCCCTTTCCATCATTGCCGCCATCACTACCATCGCTGCCATTGCTGCCATTGCTGCCATTACTCTGGAGCTGCAGGAGCAGGAAGACTGATCCACAAACGGTGCATCTCAGCATTCGTTTGACCCCCCCCCCCTCAAAACGGGGCTGTCTCTATTTTTCAGGCACCGCCACTCAACACTCAACGCTCAACGCTCAACACTAAACCAATACGTGCATATTCAATTCGAGTAGGATAGCGATACAACAATGTGGGCGCGCAAGGCAAGAGGAGAGACCCTTTTGGAAGATGAAGAGCGCGAGGAATTGATGTTGACACGGAGAGGATCCCCGTCTCCGACACCCGAAAACCGTACACCTCTGCATGCGTTATTAGCACCAGACGAAAAGGAACCCGAGATAAGGACACCCATGTCTGTCAAGGATAGCTGGAACTTTGCACTCTTGGTCGTTTTATGTAAGGAACCATCAATTCGTCTCTATAAAGCGGTAGACCCTCTCGCACTGTTGTCTAACAAAGGAGCTGGGTTGGTCGATTGGTTGGTTGGTTGGTTGGTTTGATGATAGATCTGTTGCAGGGTGTCCCTGTAGGATTGGCGTTCGGCAGTATCCCGTTTCTACTCAAGGCCAAGATGAGCTATTCCCAGATCGGGATCTTCTCACTCGCACACTACCCCTACAGCATGAAATTCCTTTGGTCGCCCATCGTCGACGCCCTCTACAATAAGAAGATCGGTCGTCGCAAATCTTGGATTGTTCCGATCCAGCTCCTGACGGGGTTCATGTTCCTATGGCTGGGAACCAACATTGATACCTGGATGGGTCAGGATCAGGTTGAGGTCGGAACCTTGACGACCGTGTTCTTCGTCCTCATTTTCTTCTCGGCCACTCAAGATATTGCAGTCGATGGATGGGCATTGACGTTACTGTCAAAGGACAATGTCTCGTATGCGTCGACTGCTCAAACGATCGGACTTAACTCGGGATACTTCCTATCGTTCACGGTTTTTCTGGCCTTCAACTCGCCGGAATTCAGCAACAAGTACTTCCGGTCGGCGCCTCAGGAGGTGGGATTGGTGCCCCTGGGAGGATACCTCAAGTTCTGGTCGATGATGTACTTTGCGATCACACTCTGGCTCGTCTTTCTGAAGAAAGAGGAGCCTTCTCAGTCGGAACAGGATGATATCGACATCATGTCCGTGTACAAGATCATCTTGAAGATCATTCGTCTGCCTCATATGAAGTCGTTGATGGTCGTGCTGTTGACAGCCAAGATTGGGTTCATCGCGAACGGAGCGGTGACGGCGCTGAAGCTGCTGGAGAAGGGATTTAGCAAGGAGGATTTGGCACTCGCAGTGTTGATCGATTTTCCGTTCCAGATTCTATTTGGATATTATGCAGTCCGCTGGAGTTCTGGACCACGGCCACTCAAGCCAGTAAGTTTCGAATATGTCGTCGATAGGTTCACTCTCGTTCTCATAGCTGCTTCTCTCTTTTTTTTTTCTTTATTCTTTTTTTTTTTTGTCTTTCTTCTGTTCCAGCTTGCTAATGCTTTGCATTTGCATTTGAGTACATAGTGGTTGTATGCGTTCTGCGCGCATTTGGTCTGCTGTATCGTAGCAATGCTGATAGTAGCATCATTCCCTGCAGATGGCCAAGTCACTTCGACCTACTTTTACTTGGTCCTCGCAACTACCGTGACAACATCCTTCACGAGGTAAGCGTCTGAATTTGCTCCGCATGAGGGGAAAGGCTTGAACCTAGTGATGGTATTCAAAAGGGCATGTTTCTATCAACAATACTAAACCTTGGGACGCCATCCTATCTTTCCATGACGCACTATTTTGCTTAATTCTTCATTGCAGCACAGTTGCAT